TATTTGACCGTAAGCTTAGCTTCATTCCACACATCAAGCAGCTACGTGTCAAGTGTGCAAGGGCTCTGAACATCATCCGTGTCCTCTCTTCCAGCTCTTGGGGAGTGGATCGATGTTCTCTGCTCAGGATCTATTATGCCCTGATTCGATCCAAACTGTAGTATGGTTCTGCCAGGACCTCGGCCTTGAAGATGCTGGTCCCCATTCACCATCTGGGGCTTCGGCTCTGCACTGGGGCTTTTCACACTTCTCCAGTCCAGAGTTTGTACACTGACTCCCATGAACCTCCTCTTCACCTCCATTGTTTGCAACTTTTTTTACAATATGCTACTAAACTTCGATCCTTACCATAGCATCCCACCTGGAATTGTCTTTCTTCCTTAGTGGGCCATGCTCTTTCAGAACAGATGGTTTGCTATTCCTCCCTTTGGTTTTAATATCTGGGCACAACTGGCTGAATTGGGTCTATCATTGGATGACATTGCTGTCCCCAATGATCAGCCCATTCCACCATGGCTTCTTACCATCCCTTCCTGTGACCTTTCTTTGTCATCTAAGGAAGGCGGATACTCCCAGTTGGAAGTACCGTCATCTTTTTGCTGAACATCTTTTGAGCCATTCTTCCTCTTCCTATTTACATGGATGGTTCGAAATTGGGTAACTCTGTAGGTTCTGCCATGGTGTGCTGTGGCTCGCACGATCCCCTCTACAGTTTCTGTGTTCACTGCCAAGTTGTATGCTATTTCTCTTGTCCTGTATCATGTAGAAGCTATGCAATACAGTAATTGTACTATTCACACTAATTATTTTAACTCTCCACTGGCTCTGGAATCGTTTAACGTTAGTTCTCACCCTGTTCTCATCGATATTCAACAACGACTGGCCCAGTTTTCTCTATCTTCTGTTTCCATCCAGTTTTTCTGGATACCTGGCCACGTCTGTATTCTAGGGAACGAGCTCCCTGACACTGCAGCTAAGTCTGTATGCTCTGGTGCCGTCATGGCCATGCCTGTTTCGTACATGGACTATGGTCCTGTCTTTAAGGTACGGCTTCGTGCCAGTTGGCAGTCGACTTGGGGTGAGAAACGTCATAACAAGCTTTTGTTGCTTTTTGGCCGTCTTGCATCCATAAGGATCTGAAGGAGGAAGTTGTCCTGGCAAGGCTACAGATTGGTCACAGTTTTTTAACCCATCGTTTTCTTTTATCTGGTATTGACCCATCGATGTGTAGCCATTGTGACTCTCAAGTCACAATAGCCCACATTTTACTGTTGTGCCATCGTTACGACTGTGAGCGGCGGCACCATTTTAGACACGTGTTTTCTAAGAGTTTACCCCTGATGTTGGACAGTGTCATTGGTGATGGTGACACTAACCGACTTGATTGTATTTTTAACTTTTTATGCACTATTAGTCTTTTTAAATGTATATAAATCCTTTATCCAAATTTTGGACATATTTTGGTTTTAACTCACTGTATTTTTACACTTTAGTCTAATTTTCTTTCACTATTTTTACTTGTTGTTTGGCGCAGATAGCCTCGTTGCTTTGCGACATAAAGCACCAAACAAACAACCAACCAACCTTAACTCAACTTTTTTCATACTAATGGTAGTAATGCACTAAATAATTTTCATTACCCATGAGCTGCTCGTGGGCATGCTTCATGAAACATTTTTGTTATTTATTTTACCTAATCCAACCTTAACTAAGATCCCTATTTTTACATTTTAGTTACTTTTATAATAATAAATAAAGAATAAACATGAAAAACAAGAAATAGAGTATTTACCTGAATCTTCTTTTTCCTTGCTACTGATTGTTGATGACACTTAATCCATTTTTTTCATACTAATGGTAATAATGCACTAAATATATCTGACTTAATTAAATAATGCACCAAAGAACATAAAATAATAACATGCAAAAGGTAGACAATTTCCCCTAACTATCACAATTTTTCTGGCTTTCTAACTATGTGACAAAAACCATTACAAATTCATCCAAGCTACTCATTATTTTTCCCATGAGAATGAAGTTTGTACTCACAGTGAAATTGACAATTCTGCATTAAGAAAAGAATAATATATAATACGACATTTGATAGATGAAAACCTTGGCTTTCTGTTGGTTATAGATAATATAGAATTAAACATAAGAGAGAACTATTAACAAATCCTGAAAGAGAAGATGTGACAGGTGGGTGTGGCAAGAGGTGTCTGATTTTCTATTTGATGGCTCTGTAACGAAACAAAATTGAAGGCTATGAAACTTATGGTTTGTCTGAGGAATGACAATCTTATTGTGAGTAATTTATGTTGAATTTATTACTTACTGGAGAGGTGGTGGATAATATAGAGAAGAGGAGATGCCTAGGGGAAATTGAGGATTTGTTTAAATATTGCCTTATGAAATTAAGAACTTAAAACTTGTATACTATTAAAATACGGATTATTAGCTATGATTTTATGTTATACTATTTGGTATAACATAAACAAAAAGTAGTTTAAAAAATTTTGGATGCGCAGTAAAGGATGCCCGTCACGATAGGGGTAATTTCTATGGTATCCGTCTCAGTTTCTGCTTAGTCCAAAAGACTTTTTTTTATCGATGGTAATAACATGCATATCAGAAATGTTATATTGAGAGGAGGTTGAACCCTTTTCAATCAATGTTGTGAACCATAACTCACTTTTTGACTTGGCTCTACAGACGTTTTGCATCATCCCAAATTGCCATTGTTTATGGTGGCTTTATCGACTACCAGTTGATTATCATGACTACATATTTTTTTAGTCCTCAGTACTCTGAAGATTCCTCACATCATTTTGGGTAATTGGTCCCAAATGACCATTCCAGTTACCTACCAGGTAGATTAAGGTTACATGTTCTTTCTCTACACCTGTTTGTAACCTGACTCTTATAGACCATGTATCCCCTTTACCTGCAGGTTTATTTTCGTTGCTGCTGACCTACGGACATCACCAGTCAGTGATTTGTGCTTTTTGTCTATCAAATACTCTCATTCTCTCTAGGTCCTCAGACCAGTTCTTCTTTCCCAACATTCTGTCAGATGGGAAATGGATTTATTCCTTTTCTCTGATTCACCTGCTCATTCTTTTTCTCTACATCCAATCATCCGATCTTGGTCATGTTCAGTGAGGGTCTTGAAGGTTTTGTTACCTGCACTTATATCTTTAGAGATGATAGAAAACACTTTTTAGTGTGGGGTCTCTTTGAGGGAATGGTATCTTCTGTGTGTCACATCTCATCAGATTTCTCTTTTCTATGTCATTAGCCGCCCGTTTGAATTGCCTGCTGGCGTTCATTGTGCAGACTGGTATGTGGACCTCCCCCAATACCTTTATCTCACATTATTTGCCTGATCTGGTAATCTCTCCTTGTCTGAGGGTTTTTGCCTACCCCTTATAGCTATTTTAACCATTTCTGTTGGATTATCCAGAAGGATGAGTATATTTATTTCTACCTTTCAGGGTCCATACCCTGTTTCCAGTCACTAGGGTAGTGGACAGAGGCTTTTCCTCCACAGTGTTAGAGTGGATTCCTCCATTCTGGAAAAAAGGGCAAAGTTGGGGGCCCTCCTACCTAGGTCCCTGGATGTTTGTTTCCCAGATGTAGATAGGAGCAGCACCAGCCTATGTGGGAGCCTACTCATTATACTGGTTCAGATTTGATGCTCAGCTATCCGGTTTAGGTGTGCATGGCTCTTTTTTTTTTATCAATATCAGTTCGGTACATTGTTCATGGAAAGGGGTCCACTATCTCCTTGTAATTCTGAAAGTGGAGTGGTCCCATCCTGGGTACCCGGTTGAGCACAGTTGTTCCCTGTCCTCCCCATAATTCTGTTGGGGAGTGAGGATTGATGTTCATAATTCCAGACCAGATGAGTTCTTTCCTTTGGTTGAGTATGGCATATACGTTCCTGTCATTCTGAGCCTGGGGTGTTGCCCTTTGGATTTCTTCAGCTGGAGGAGAAGGTTTGTCAACTTTGGTGATGCTTACGTACTCGTTGATATCCAGTGGTTCAGAACTCATCACTCTGTGGCTACAGGTTGGGATTCAATCAATATGCGACATTGCTTTAGCCACCAATGTGAGATATATGGACCAAGACCCCTTAATTCCAACCACAAGTAGTGGAACTTTGGCTATCTGGTTGGGGCTGGCCTATAGTTGTGATCACTCATATACAGTTCCACCCTTGATACAGGAACTAAGTTCAGAATGAAGAGCATATCTGTTCTAGATGTAGTGCAGTTCCCCATTTGAGTACCAATCCTATCTTGGTACTCTTTATGGATAATGCCCTCATTAGTGCCTTCACCTTCTCAATGTGGGATTCTAGCTATAAGTGTCAGTAGAGGTCAGTATGTTTTGGAAGTTAACATATTTCTAAACTGAAAATGTATTTCTAATAACATTTACCTCTTCTGACACCCTTCCTCCCCACTAAAAGCCAGTGTTAGAGACTGGAATGGTATCAGTCTCTGAATGAGGTGATTATATACAGTACCAGGATAAAGGGCACATTGATGTAAATGGAAAGTATCATGAGATAAATATCACCAAGGGCAATTGTGTGGGGTATAAAGGCTGGAACAAGCAAGAAAAAATTAGACCAATGCTTAGATGGGCAATGAAGAAACCCTGGCAGTCGAGTAATAGCTATAAGTGTCAGTGGAGGTAAGTATTATTGGAAATACATTTTCAATTTAGGAAAATGTTAACCTTGATTCATTCACTTTAACATTAGTAATTAGTTGTTTCTGTTAACCTGAACTACTTTCATGCTATTAGAACCATCAAAGTCATTTCTGAGGAATGATATATATTAAGGTTCTCTTCCTACCTATATTATTATCATTTGTTGACCTACTTCTGGAACAAAATGATTAGTTTGTCAGTTCATCAGTTCTTCTTAATGACAATTATCATTAATTCAAGTAAAAAAATTTTATTATTGTCTTATCTACTTCCAGATTATTGGTAGAGTTCAAGCTGATCCTGACTTTTTACCACGAAGTTCAGACTTTGGTCTAAACACTACAATCTTCAGGGAAAAATTTTGTTCAAAGTGTCCTGAACCATTTTACCTTGTAGCCTTTCATTGCTGTGATCTAGATCCTGAAAAAAGGTTGTTGTTTTTTTTTTTCTCATTTGATTCTATAATAAAGGTTGGATAAGTAAAATTACATGGTTTTATTAGTGTATTTTTTTTTCTAACAAAGACCTGAAGAAAATTTGGTTTTCTCTTCGTTATACATTTCTATTATTAAAATATTCTTTTCAGAAGGTATTTTCATTTGTAATGCAGATCTGACACAAAATATCTCTATCTGCAGGCCACCATTTGAAATTATGGAAACGTGGCTTCAGAGTATGGCTATGCATTTTACTGTTGGATCTTCACTTCCAAATGAGTTTGTAAATGAGATAAGAAACTTTAGTGGCCGATCACCTGCTTCATCCTCTGCAGACTCCACTCCTGAAGCCCTCACACCAGAACCAAGGTATCCACCACTTCGGACAATCAGTGAGCAGTGCCTGGACACCCCTCCTCAATCTCCAGGAATTGTTGGAAGTCTTTCTTATCCAACGTCTCCTGCACAGTGAAAGTAAGTAGTGAAAGTACCTGAATGCAGTCTTTACTATGAAATGTTAGAAAAAGGTGTAATTTTTTCTTCTTCAATAATCATTTTTGGTTGAGACATTTAAGTACCTACACAAATATCAAAGTAATTTATTAAAAGTATGCACTAAGATTTCATAACTGTTAGTAGCTAAGTACTTGTATGTTGAAAATTTTCAGCTTTGTCACTTACTTGACATTCAAAGAAGAAAATTTCAAATATTGTAGTCCCGATGGTGAGAAAAACACTCATTGTGTAACTGTGTGTTTAGTAACAAATGAACAAAAAAATATTATAGATAAAAATACTAAATTGTAGATACCACAGATAGAAATATAGACCTTGCTATAATTTGTATATAATACAAAAGTGATGAAACATATAGTAGGAAATAAGATGGGAGATACTTGCAGCTGGATCTTAAAGTTGTAGCTATAATTCTATCAAAGGGTTTACCATTTGAAAATGTGGATCATATGGGTTAATTTCTAGACTTAGAAAGTTCAAAATGATAGTATAATCAATAATCTTAGAAAAGTTCTGGAAAACAAAAATGCCATTGTAAAAATATTTTTTTATCCAGGAATTTTAAAATATTGACATATAAAATAGTTCTGCTGTGGTCAACTAATCTAAATCCTGTCTATGATCATTACCAACTTATTAAGTCACCAGAGCAGCAATTTAAATTTGACAAATCCATGTAACTACCTTGTTAACACTTCTAATATGGGTGGATGGATTACACCCAGCCTATATTCCCAAAAGTATCCATAAAGCAGTTATACTGTCGCTTTTTTTTGTATCTTTACAAAATTTTGCAGATTAGCAGTAAACATTATAAGGCATTCTTACACAATGTATCAGATTTTTAAATTATGTTTTTACATTTTTTAATAAATTATTTGCTTGTGCATTTTTTATTTTCGAATGTTGACTGTCCAACATGCGAAATAATTTTGATTTTAAGAATAAAAATAATTTAATGCAACAGAAAATTTTCAAATTTCAAATGCAAAATCTTTATAACCTCCAGATAATTATCAAATGTTGTTTTTAGAAAAAACTTGTTATTTTATCTGTTCTTTTCACTACTGG